CCTCAGCCGTCGTTTGAGGCTCCTTGGGGTGCCCTGACAGCTGCTGTCTGCCCTGCACCTGACAGTCAGCCCTGGCAACACGGGGGCTGGCCCCATCCCTGGTTGCATGGCCCCCCAAAATAGCCCCACAGGGACTCTTGAGCTGCCTTCGGACACCCTGCATGCTCCTGCTACGACCAGGGCACTTCACAAGGGCTGCCGACACCAGGCCTGTGAGCTGTGGGGCTGCCCCTCACCGAGGGGTGCTGGGGTACCGTCGGTGTTCCCCCTGCCCTGTCAGTGTATGGCTCTGGTGCTGAGACTCAGGGACCGCCTGGAGAGGGCTGTCCCCCTTCTGCTGGTGACCACGAGAGGCCACTGCAGGGCAGCCTCAGCCATGCCCGTGCCTGGGCACGCACCCGCTGCTCTGGACCCAGACTCCGACGCTTGGCCCTACCTGGTCACTGTGGCCATGGCTGGCCATCGCCGGACTGCAGCTGACACCGTTACCGCCACCGAACCTGACCCTGTCTCGACACCTGCAAGCGACACTCTTGGTTGGTCGTCACTGCCGTTCCCAGGCCTGCCCTGCATCTCCCTCAGGTATGGTGGAATGGGGTCCTGGCTGGTGAGGCACTGCCCAGCCCTACCCCCAGTGCTGCGCTCAGCACCGTGTCCCCTCTGGAGCAGCCGACCCCTGCTGCTCCCCGACTCCAGGGTGAGGTGCTCCAAAGGGGCCCAGCCTCCTGCCACCCACCCATGGCATGGGTGCAGGTGCATGTGTGTGTGCGCACAGGAGATGGACAGGGAGCGCAGCACATGGCATGGGCAGTTGGTGAAGCCTCCAGCACAGATGGCTGTCACGCTGTTGTCCGCGTGGCACCAGAGCTAGGTCTGGTTTTGCTTGTGGGCGTTGTTCAGCCAGCCATCAGGAGTGCATGTCTGCACAGGTGTGTGCCTGTTCAGGTGCCAGACCCATGCACACCAGGCGCTGGGCGCTGTCTAGCTGTCATAGCCGAGCCCTCCCCCCCAACTGTCTACATGGGAAAGAATCTGGGACATCAGATAGATACATACCCATATCCTTTGTATCTATATATACCTATACATATGTATGTACATATATACACACACGGGCGCGTATGTCAGCAAGCACCTAAATCAAGCGCAACACCTACTCTCTAATGGCAGCTAAGCCGCATTTCTGTGCTGCTTTACCTCGCACAGCAGAGCTTCCAACAAATCCCAAAGCAAAGGTAGGAGCCACAGCCCACTGCCTCGTAGTTGGCCTTGTGGTTACTCCAGATCCATACCCACCCAGCAAAGAGGTTTGCCAACTCTGCAGGGATTCAAAACATTGCTGCTGTGGGGAAAGGCATTTCCCTTGTGTCTTCCTCTGAGGGAATGTCGTTAATTGATCTGCTCCTCCCCTGGGCTTCCTCCTCCTCCAGGTAAAACTGCTGCCTGCCCGCACCAGTGTTGCTGGCAGGTGATGCTGCCGCTCCCACAGCGTGCAGCCTGACACTGCAGTCCTCTGGGAGGCACTCAGGAAGCCACCCCTTTTTTGAGGGCTGGTATAGGCCACCTGCACAGGGCTGTGATGTGGATGCGTGTGTTTGCTTGTAGGTGGTACACCTGTACTCCGTTGTCCTGGTAAGTGTGTGCTGTTTCACATCTCCCTGGTGTGTCACATTAAAGTTCAGTCCTTGAGAGTGACGTTCGAGCTCTTTTGCAGGTACCTGACTGGTGCCTTGGTCAACTCACAAACAACTGCCATGAGACAAGCGTCCTGAGAGCCACAACCTCGCACTGCTGGGCTGGGATGAGACTGCTTGGCTCCCTTGAGAGCTCTCTGCTCTGCTGAGGGATGCCAGAGATGACATCAAAAGCTGGGTGCCCTGCTCACACCTGGCAAATGAGGTAAAGAGGATGGCATAAGTAGGGTTGGCTCTGGGAGTGTGGGTGACTGTACTGTGGTTGGAGGGTTTCCTGGAGGTGCTCTTGGGTGTTCAGAGTTCTCAGCCCTTGAACTCTGCAGACTGAAGGAGAGCAGCGTTGGGCATGGGCCTGTGGAGTTTGGTTCCTGCAGACAATTGCTCGGAGCTGTGCCTGTGGCCCCTCTGGGCTGCTTCTGCACCTGCAGCATCTGAAGCCAGGCTCCTGTTCTCTCCTTTTCTTACCTTCCTTCCTCCCTCTCCCACTCCTTTCTTTCCTTCTTCCCTTACTTCCTCTTTGCCTTTCATTCCTTCCTTCCTTTCTCTCCTAAGGGGGTGCTGCTCCCCTAGAGCATCTGCTCTTACCACAACCCCACCCCAACAGACAGAGACACCTCCAGTTGTTTAGTCCCTTTATTGTCACCCCACAGGGAACCGCTACATCCTCTGCACAGGCTTGATCCCCAGGATGTCGAATCCTTTGGCCATGACGGTGGCAGTGGCTTCACACAGCAGCAGCCTCCACATGTTCACCTTCACAATCTGGCCTGCAAAACACCAACCCAGGAGCTGGAGCAGCTGCTCAGATCAACTAACGCCGCCTTCCCCAGGGGAACCCCAGCCACCCACAACCTGCCCTGGGGGGTGGGCACACTAAGCTCCCTCCCATTCTCCCCAAGCCAGGCAGACTGACCAGCCCTTGTGTTTCCAGGTGCCTCGCAGCTCACAACTCTCTACTCAACCTTCCTGCGCCCAGGCAGATGACAGGCTGTGCCAGCCACCTTCAGTCCTCTCACACGGACAACACTTGTTCTGCAGCAGCTGGTAGTGTGACAACAGCCTTCCCAGCACAGGGAAACACCCCGCAGATTGCCTGTACCACTGTATGTGACACAGGCACACGCAGCACCCCTAGGCCAACACTCACCGCTCTGCCTGTCCTTCTCAACGCAGTAGCAGTTGTCGTAGAACTCTGTGAAGGTGGTGGCCAGCTCATACAGGTAGTCACAGAGCGTGTGTAACAACAAGTCCTCCAGGATCTTCTGCAGGATCTCGGGGAACCTCAGGATGCACTTGCCCAGTTTCCACTCCTTCTCATGGTCAAGGATAAGCACCTCCTCCCTGGCTGCCTTCCGCAGCATCTGCTCATCAATATTGGCCAGGCGAGCAATAGCCCTGAAACGATCCAAACCAGAGCCTGCTTGTGAGGGTCCCACTGCTCAACCTGCCTCAGCGCCAGCCTGCAGTTGGTCAGGTGTCTGGCCTGTCTCAGGGCTAGCACTGGCCACCCGCTGATCTCCTCACTTGCCCAGTCCTGCGTTACCAGGCCCAAGGAGAGCAATCAGCCCTGGGAAGGCACGGGGAGGCACTGCCCTCAGAGCGATCCAACAGGGCTCTGCAGAGGAATGGGGAGGGGTGTGCTCTGGGTGCATGTGTTGGCAAGGACAGCTGATGCTTCAAGCAAACCAGGGCTCGGGGTGCCAGAAAAATGGTGTGGGGTATGGCAGTACCTGAGGTGAGCAGCTGCTGGAACACAGGCTCACCTCCTTCCACCTAAATCCTCTAATGGAACTACCAGAAACTCCCACAGTTCCCTCTGTACTAGCTAAAAGCCCAGGATGCACGTCACGCAGAGGAGCCCTGTTTCAAATAGCAGAGGACACCATTTCCAACGACAAACAAAATCTTGGCTACAGCACATACCAGCGTAGCTGGCTTCTCTTACCAACTAGCCCCAACAGCACCGATGCAACTAAGTCACTCCTGTCCCCACATCTCCCTTTGCGATAAACATACAGAGAGCGTCAGAGACCAACTCTAACCAACTGCCTGCACGCTCAACCTACCTGATCCGTGTGAAGGCATACAGCAAATAAGCAGCTGTATTTCCTCGGTCATCCAGCATCTTGTCAAAGGAGAATACGTAATCATTTAGTCTGTTGTGGGAGAGATCTGCGTATTTAATACATCCAAAAGCGACTGACATCTGGGCAGCTTTCAGCTCTTCTGCCGTGAGGACCTGTTGCAATTTCAAAACGGATCACAGTCAAGAGGAAGAATGCTACACTGGCATCACGAACCACAACATGCAGCCTTGGCCACTCAGCACAGCTCAAGAGGAAAGCCCAGGCTGCCAAGGGGATTTCACCCACGTGCTACTCAGTGAAAGGCTCACGCCCACCTTTCCACCTCGGGGTACCAGACAACCCCACATCCACCCCTCACTTCTCTTGCAACCAAATAGTACTGCAAGGTTAAGGCTGACCTTTCTACTTCTGAAGGCCCACAGGACCTCTGTGCCCCATAATGTATATTTGTGCCCCATAATGTCAAACCTGTATCTGCCATACAGGTTTGATGCTCGTACTGCACTTCTGCATCTTACAAACTGCATGTACACATAACAAACACGTGGCCCTCCTACCCTTACAGAGCATTTTGGACAGTCCAAACACTCACAAAACCCCTCTCTGGTGGAACAGTGCCCTGTCAGCATGGCAAAGCGCTTTGCGTCTGACTCATATGAGCCCTTTGGAGATTTTTAAGGTGGTTTTTTCTGTGCTTCCTCATGTTCCTGTTTAAAAAGGGACCTTTCACTTTCACCAAATGCTGCAGAGCACCAAGGAGATGCACTTCCCAATTCCACTGCCTCACGCAATGCTTGGACAGAGTTTGGTCCTTCTGTTCCATTCCATGTCCCACACTGCCCAGTTCTCTCCAGGCCATCAAGATGCAAGACAGACAGAAATCTCATGAAGCAAAGGGCTTCCAGCAAACTCAGTTGCAATGTCCAAGGGAAACAGTGAAGCCAAAGTCCCCCGCAGATCCCCAACCATCCATCCCTAGAAGTCACTGCTAGCCTAGCAGGCCAAGGCTGCAACTTTGTATTTTGCCACCACCTCCCGCATCCCGGGGGAGTCACAGCTGTTGCCCTTGCACCAGGGAGACCTGACAGTACCTGCAAGGCCAGCTATCCTGCTGGGCCCAGCTCTCCTCTCCTACCCTCAAAAAGGTCTGCAGCTCCAGCCAGAAGCTGGCATGCTGCCTGCAGCTCACATTTTCTCACTGCTATGTACTCAGGGATGCTCTTCTTTCCCGCCAACGGCACCTTGCCCGAACAGCTATCAAATAATCACACTGATTGTGTACACAACCCACGGCATCTCCTGTGTGGTTTGGCAGTGTCCATATTCTCAGCTCACACCCAGAACACAGAAACCGTAAGTCTGTGAACAAATCTGGGAAGTTGTCAGGAAAGATAAGCAATTTGTCACAACTACCTTGTCCCGTTCCTTGTCTTTCAGCTTGTCCATAGCTCGTTTCAGCCCTTCTTCCAGCAGATCTATAAGACGCACTGTATCCCCTGAACGAGTTTTGAACTTCTTCCTGAAAACACACAGCCAAAATGACCACCTACATAAGAGGCAAAACACTTCCACCTTCTGCCTAGGGCTCTGCATGTGCCCAGGCAGATCCAGGACATATATCAGAACTTCTTGCAGGGATTTCCACTGCTTACACCTCATGGCTTATTAAAAAAGCACATGCCCACAAATTCCTCCCTATTGAAGAATTTGACATCCCACAGACAGCTACAAAACTGAGAGAACAGCCATGGGGTGGCCGGGAGGGGTGACCAGGAAGGCTCCAACAGTCAGAACTGTCCCAGTTCCAGACATTAAGCAGGACACAATACCAGTGCCCAGACCCCTGCCCAGCCCAGCACGTCACCTTTAGTTTTGTAACAAACCTACAGCAAAACCAGCCAGTCCGCAATGGCATGTGACCATCAGAGCACACTGGTTTAGTCACACCTTCACAGAGACACAAGATCAACTCTGGAGCACAAGGGCCTGGCCTGCAGACCAGGACACAAGAGGTTCTTTCCCCAGTTTTCATTTCATCTACCATGAGGCAAGTAGAAAATAATGGAAATCATGGCCTTTACTGTTGCCACCTCCCAGTATTCAGATCAGCTTTCAACAGCCATTCCCAGTACCCCTCCCCAAATGCCAGGCAGCAGAAGCCAGGCCCAAGAGGGACCTTACCACAGCACCAGTGACTATGTGGATCAAGGATCAGGACACACAATGAAACAACACAGTTATGAATAACAGCATGGGATGCGGTGCTTTTTTTAATTTCTGGCATGCCGCATGCATTCTTGTCAACAAACAACAGCCAGTCTTCTGCATTCACTCAAACATCCTCTTTAGAGCACACACAGAGGAAAAAACATATCCAAAGACTTACTTGTCTTCTCCCAGCACCACTCCGAACGCAGCATGGGCCACTCTGGTTACTTTGGGATCATACCAGCCGATCATCTGTCCAGCTGCAAACACTGTTTGTAAATGCACCGACTGCAAGGAACAAACGCCAACAACCGGTTCTCAATCCATCTCCTTCACAATGCTGCTTTCACAATGACACTTAAAATGTTTCCAGCTCCACAGACAAATTCCACTTCAGTAAGTTCAACCTTTCAAAGAGTTTTCCTAGCTTAAAGCAGCAGCAACTGGCAAATTCCCATCACTGCTCAGATACAGACCTGATGGCCTTGCACTTCCTCAGGTAAGGAGAGACCCAAATATAAGCAGTACAAATCTCATTCCAAAGAGACTCGTCTATTGAGATTTAGGCTTCACCCACCCCCAGTGGTAACCGAGTCTCTCCCTAATCAATCGGTTTCAGAGACCCTTCATGGAGACCACCAGCCACCAAATGATTCACCATTACACCAATAAGGGCAAGAATGAATATACCAACCACACTAAAAACCCTACGGCGTTCTATGTTACTGTTGCATCTGTCATTTAACGCACTTTCTGATGATCTGCAGCAGCAGTGACAGCAGAGGTTGGCATACTCACCTGGCCGCTATCGACAACATAAATAAGGATATCAGCCTTCTCTTCACATAGCCTGTGTTTAAGAGCAGCTAAGTCAGATGTGTCATATGTGTAACCTCCATCCGATTTCATGATCGTCAAGGGGACAGGGAAACCTGGGACAAACACGATCTTCCGGCCATCATCAACCTGGACAAATCCTAGAAAAGCAATGGAAAACATTCTGTGTTGTATCGCATCAGGAGGTTTCTGGGCCAGCACAGGCAGAAACACTTCCCTTCCCAGATGCTACCTGAAAGAAAAGGCCATGCACTCACATTATCAAATAATTAATGGCTCAAAATATTGAAAAAAAACTAAACGAGAACTCTGTCGCCAACCAAGTCCCATTCTGTATTGCACTTCCAGAACTCAAGACTATGTATAAGTAAGCGGATGTGCACAGATCTGGCTTTACCAGAAGAGATCTAATTGGATTTAAAAACTCCTGTCACCGGCATCTGGATCCACCTTTACAGCTACAAAAACAGCATTACAAAGTATGGCATTAAAGGCAACAGAAACTCTACGGAGACACAATGAGGACTTAGCACAAAGTCTGTCAGAGATAAGACTAGTCAGAACACTTTAGATGGTGAGACTCAAGAACTGCCAAATCCAGACAGGAACACATAAAACCAGAGACTTTTTATGCTCCATTTGGCATCTTGCGACTCTCAAAGTCAACATGATCTAAAAATGCGACTGTCTTCACAGAGATTTCTCAAAGTTCCCATACAGTCATGATACTAAGACCGAGAAGTGTGTCACATATCGCTCCTTGACTATTTACTAAGGATACAATAAATTCCAGTAGTACCTCATGCTATTGCCTACAAATATCACAAACTGCTTTTGGTGCCAGCAAGAAAGATTCAAGCTTTCTGGAATGAAACATGAAATAATCCATTCTGCTAATGCTTCTCTGGGAGGAAAAGCTACAAAAGATCCACTCAGGACATGTGGCTGAGAAAAAGAGCACGGGTGGGGAACACGCAACTTCAAAAACACCGGTCCTAAGGCCTCACTGACTAGGAGCAAGGTTACCTCACTCATCCTCACAGCTGCACAATTTCTGACTCTGAGACCAAAAGCCTCACCTTTATCTTCAAATTCTTTCACGATGTCTTTCATCATCTCATGGTAGAATGATTCCCCTCTCTCTACGAGTGTGATGTCCAAGCAGTTGTAGATTTTCTGGAACTCTTGAGGAGGGAGACAGAACAAAATATTTCCATTAAATGCACACAGGGGGAAATAGTGGCTTATGTTTACCACTGGGCATAGCAAGTCCCTAAAAGCATTTTCCCTCTCTTGGTCAAGCCATCAGACTAGGACTCAGGAGACAAAAGATTTAGCTGAAAGCCTCCACAGACAGCCCAGTACTTTGGTTGTATGGGCTTTTTTCTTTAAGCTTCTCATAGCAGTGTGGCAGTGATTTTCAAAAGAAAATGAGAGGACAGACTCAGACATAAAGGTGAGGAAAGCCACACTGTTCTACTGCTGAGACATGTTTCCGCATCTGGCAAAGTCACCTTTCCGCGACACATCACAGATCAGTTCCCATGCCTTAATGAAGTCCGGGTTTTTGCTCTGCAGCAGCACCACACATTGGTAGGCACGTTTCTTAAATTCCTCCTCTGTGTCAAACCTCCTCTTGGATTCCTATGGTAAAACACACCACATAAAAAAGCACGGCTTTCTCCCCTGAAACAAGCTAACATTCGTACCAGGCTCTCCAAGCACACTCATCTCAAAAGACAGAGGCAGCACACTTAAAAAGTCCTTTGATCACACCCCACAGAGACAACTCAATACCAGATACCGCAATTCATTACCCAGTGGCAGGTTATTGCAGTAATCTATTAACAGTGATTCAAATCGTTTGTTTCTCCAAAACTACGCTGCAATTTGTAAAGTTCCTCAATCTGCTTTTCAGATGTTGACATGAATATAACATTTAATTGCTACAAATACCTTGTAAAAAGCTTGGAGATCCCCAATAGGAGGAGAAACAGTTAAGTAATCCGGAAATTTGTCTTGGAGGTGAGCAATGAGCATTCCAAACTGGGTGCCCCAATCTCCTAAATGGTTTAACCTTGAAGCAATCGAAGAGCACAATAATAATGATTTCTCAAACATATGCTTTAAAATATACACATTTAAAAAATATAAATTCTAAAAGAAGAAACACACATAGTATCAGAAACCAAAACCAGGCAAGGCTCCCCAATTTCACTGCGATGAAGCTGCTGCCACCCATCTTGATTCCTAACCCTGCTAGGCTTGCTCAGCTTAGTATCTTACTACACATAAAGGATGATTTGTTATGTGCTTATAAACAAACACCAATACAGACCAAAGCACAGATACAGGTTTTGCATAAGTTTAGCCAAACAAGCTCACCACACCCAAAAATCGACTCTCACCTCAAAACATCATAACCTGCAAATTCAAACAGTCGGCACATACTTTCTCCAATGATCGTAGACCGCAGGTGGCCAACATGCATCTCCTTTGCAATGTTAGGGGATGAAAAATCCACCACCACCTTAGACACAGTACCAAAGGAAAAAATGAATAAAAGGCAGCAGTTGTTACCATACCTCATATGTTTAATGTCCGTTT